TTTTTCACAATGCTGGCTTATTAAGGGATCTATTCCCTCCCCCCCCCCCCCCTCGCCTTGTCTTCGATACCAAGTTAAACCTGCGTTCACAAGAATTGTGATTGTTTGTGCGACATTGCTGTGTGTGAATTGGCCGCTGTTTTCGCTTACAAAATACACAGTCACTGCACTCCACTTCACAGTTATGACTGAAAAAGTGCTTTGCCACTTTAGCAAGGTGCAAAATCAAAGGCAGGGATTATGATGGTATTGATCAGTCAGTCTTCAGTCAGATTGCTGGCTCATAGTTACCGCACTGCCAAGTCAATCTGTTCAATTTTAACAGAACAGACCAAAACTGACAAAGACCCATCGAACAAATACCATATGGGGGTGGAGAGATGGGTGGGGGAGAGAGGAGGGGGAGAGAGGTGGTGGGGGTGGGGAGAGAGAGGGAGAGAGGGGGTGGAGGGAAGAGGGGGTGGGGGAGAGAACGCGCTATGTTCATCCAAGTTGCCCGCCATTTTGCCATTTGACACCCAAGCTCCATTTCATCCATTTCGCAGAGAAGTAAGTTTTGTCGGAACAGTTTGAATATTCTTAAATGTTCAATCTAGAATTTTTTTTTAACAATTCTTTATTTGCTCTCGTGCTTTTACACGGATCGCGTCCTTCCCTCCCCCCCCCACCCACACACACACACACACATTCTTGTCCACATCCTGAGTGGGAATAATCCTTTTTTGATATGTAGCTCCTTATCACATCTTCGAGACGTCTCAAAGTGCTTCACGGAATGTGGAGATGCATTATTTCTATAGCAGCAGCTCATTTTCCAAAGGCAGCCCAGCACCGAAACGGAAGTAAATGCTGATTAAGACTAAATGCCGGCATATGGGTATAATGTGTGAAAATTAGGACAGATAATATAAATAATTCATGCACAGCAACCTTGTCTAGTTATGCAAACAAGGAATCAAGCCCCTCTAGTGTATTATGCTATCAGGTGGTCATGTGGGAGCTGTGTTAAAGTGTCATGGAAAGGACTCGACATGTAAACACAAATTAATTAAAATATTCGTACAGTGTGCACCAGAAAGAGACAAATTGTCACCTTATTAGCAAATGTTTTTTTCAAAAAAGAAGCCAAACCATTCAGTTTTGGGCTCGAAGGGGAAAAAGGTGAATATTGTCTTGCTTTCGGATTCCTGCCCACGCAGAGCTCTGGATCTCAGTCCGAATCCGGCTCCCCACAGCCCAGCGAACATCGGAGAAGGATTCCTCCCCGACTTGTCTCCGAAAGCTCTTCACACCTGCTTACAAAGCTTTCTTGACACAGCAAATGGAACAGGGAACAAGTCTCTCCCACCAAACATACAGTCAATTCACTTTACAGTATTTTCTGTGAAGCGCTTTGAGGCGTCTTAAAGGCGCTATATAAAATGCAAGGATTATTATTGTTGTTATTATAAGTTTAAAAATAGTGGAAAGAAGTAGAGTACCAAACACAAGTAAAATAAATGTCAAGTTAAGAAACTTGGGTATCAAATTTAAGTGAACGTTATGGATACAGAAATAATTCGTTTGTGTATTTTTGTTGATGAAAAGAAACTTTTTTTTNCCCGAAGATGTTTAAGTAACTTATATTTTATTTAACCTTGAGGAAACACCGCAGAATGGAAACACGAATATTTTCAATTACACTTGAAGTACTTTTCTGTTTGTTTTGGCTGCTTTTCTTGGAGTGCAAGTTCTGCCTGTGTATTAATGTGTCAGACCAGTGCTCACTCATTTTTGTTCTGCAGCTGTATAATTGGCTGCTGTTGCTGCTATCAAAGACTTGAGGGAGATTCCTTTGAAGCAAAGCTGATCCCTTTACAACCACAGCTTGCAAAGGGAATTCAGTTGATGCATTGATGGACTTTGCATTATTTAGTGGAGAAGCTGTTGATCCAACCTCTATTATAGTTATAAAGTCAAAATGTTATCACGCTGCATTAGGGATGTGTGAAAGATTCACGTTGTTGATGTCGATTGCTCCCGGTTTTCCCCCGGTTTGGGGGTGATGCAGAATCTCCTTCGTAATTCGGATTTCTATAAACCAGACGTAACGGAATCGTAAAAAAAAATGAACTGACAAGAGAGGGGCGAGAGAGGGAGAGAGAGAGAGAGAGTGAGAGAGAGGAAGTTGCGGTGGGGGGAAAGAGTGGGAAACGAAACACAAAAGGAAATACTACAAAGAAACAAGCTCCGGCTTCTGCCTTCAACCGGAGATAACAATTTAAAGCCGAGATAGTGTTTTTGAAAGAAAAAAAAAGCAGATTTAAATGTAAAATGTGGGTGGCCTGGTAAGGATTTACAAATCCTGATCTCATGCACATCCTTGCTGTACCTTCTTCGCTTTAACTGTTTCCGTACCAGAAGCCAGCCGGCTACCCCTAAATATAGACAAAAGACGCACGGCGTCTCAGTGAAATATTGCTCTTTATTTCGATGAGTGAAGGCTGACGTAAGGAGAGACAGACAGACAATCTGCCTGACTGCCCGTGAGCAGGAATCAAGCTGGGAGATGGGAGTCTTTCCCGAGATAAGCTGCCTCCCTTCCTTTAGGTTTGTCGAACTGTCCCCGCACGGTTTGGTTTCTGACCCTGCACGAAAGCCGCGACGTAGCGCTTTGAGACATCCCGGAGACGCGATCAGGCGCCGTGTCAAATGTGAGGATCTCGTATCGTGTGCAGGTGGTCGTTGCTACGAAAGGCGAAGGGCGGGCAGGCAGGTGGAGGGGGGGGTGGTGGTGGGAATGGGTCGGTAACCGTGGAGGCGTGGAAAGTATCCCCACCGTCGGTCGGCTCTCGCGAGCGTGACAAATTCGTCTCGGCCGCGGAGCCGGTTCGGTGGGGGGGAAAAAAAAGCGCTCGGGTCTCCGCGTTCCACAACGCCGCGTCTCTTCGGCGATACGATCTGGAACCGAAGCGGCTTCGGGGAGGAGCAGGAACTCGAGTATCTGAGCCTCGTACACGCCGAGCACGTCTGTCAAACACGAGAACTAACCGCTGCCTTAAAGCCGTGGTTAGGCAGCAGCCAAAGAATGCAGCTACTTGCCTTACTGGTGCTCTCTCTGTGACTGCATCAGGGAGTTGTCTGGCAGTAGCTCGTGCACTATATCCAGTAACAGTCATCAGAGGAGTGGCTTACTGTGATTAACTGGGACAAGGTCTGGCAGGAAAGATCCATATGGTTCAGGTTTGGGAGCAGTCAGATGTTGAGTGGGAGGTCAGAAAACACTGCAGAAACTCCCCTCACTCACACCACCTCCCCCTCCAAACATACACAGGCTCACGCACACATACACACACACACACACACCACACACATAACACACACACGCCCCCATCCTTAATTGAAGCTTGCTTTTGGCAGATGCTTTAGGGCCTAGTAGCACAACTGATGAGTTTATGGAGGAAAAAGGGAGCAAGATGGTGCAGCAGGTATTTCTTCATTCTTCCCTTTTGTGTTTAATATTTTGGCTGGCAGCGATGCGTTCTGTAGAGCTCGGGCGTGGAAACAGAGGGGACTGTTGAGAGTTTTGGAGTTGTGCAAGCTTGGGCCAAGTAGGTTGCAGGATCCCATGTGAAGAGAGAGAGGAGAGCGAGAGAGAGATTCTGTTGCAAGAGTAAAACTGTCAAGACTGTGTAAAGCCTTAGCGGCTGCAGAGTTCAGCTCTCCCTGGTGCTGCTTTCGAGTCAGTCTCCTGGTGCAGAGGAAAGCAATACCAGCAACATCCCATCATAACTGTAGCTCAGCAATGCACGTGTGGCGAGGGGCTTTATCCTCTCTCGCTCTTTCTCTCTTTTTCTTCCTCCATCCCTCTCTCCAAGGAGTTTTGGAGATTATGGTTCATTTCACTCTCCACACACAGGAGGGACTTCTGTTCACTTTTGCTCTGTCTCAGTGGCAGTTTGACTTCCATGTCATTTGCATTACATCCTTTTTGAGTGTTGGGAGTGCTGACACTGAATGTCTTGCGTCCTGACTGATTTGTGATCCCCCCTCCAAAAAAAAAACCCATCATCATTGAATGTAGAAGGGGGAAAGGAGTTTTGGCGGGGGAAATGGCTCTGTGGAAAATGCGTAGTCCTTTATGTGACACAGGAGTTTGGTGAAGCCTTTGAGAGCTGTTGTGCCAAGTGACAACTTCAAAAGGGTTATTTTTGTGCGTATGTGTGTGTGTGTGTGTGTGGAGTGTCTGGGCTGATTTTTAGTTCTATTACGGCTTTTGCCTTCGAGCTGAAAGCAATAAACTGGCTTTTTTTTTTAAAACTGCGCCACGTAAAGCATATTTTCGGGCTAAATGTGGTTTTCATTAGATTTGAGCCAGCCACATTTTAGCGAAAGGCTGACAGTCTGCCATCCTTTGTTCCTCTCTCCTGTGCTGCCAGCAACTACTTTTTTTTACATATGTAAAGGGATTCGAGGTTCCCCCCAAAAAACAGCTTTTTTTGTGTTTTTTTTAATTAAAAAATATATAAATACGTATATATAAAGCCCCCCGAATGACTTCAATGACAATTCCCCCAGTGTTAGGCAACAGGCTGAGATTTTTCTCACTTCACCCCCCAAAAAAACCCTTTTTACAAAAAAAAAGGGGGGCGTTTTGCGGGGTTCGGAAGCTCTCACACGGTGCGGGAAGTGTTTTAGTCTTTTCTAATTAAATGTGGGTAGTAATTATTGGGGGCAGAGGTGTGAAAGCGTGGATATTAATTAGGGCGCGAAAAAAAAAGGACTGATGATGTGAACCAGGACAGCCCAGACACAGGCACGACAGCTGTTTTTATGGCTGAGGAAAGCCTCATGAGAACACATCCCCTCCCCCTCCATCCCCCAGCAGACCACATGCACCTGGGAAAAAAAAGTGGGGAAATGAGTTTTTGCCCTGTCTTAAGTTGTGTGTTTTTTTTTCTCTCTCTCTCTCCTTCTCTCCTTCCCTCTTTCTTCTCCCTCTCTCTCCCTCTGATCCACAGGGTAATCAGGAAGCCACAGCACCTCCTGACACTATGGCACAGCCTTACGCATCAGCCCAGTTTGCTCCACCTCAGAATGGGATCCCAACAGAATACACAGCTCCACACCCCCACCCGGCACCGGACTACACGGGACAGACCACGGTCCCCGAACACACGTTAAACATGTACCCAGCTGCCCAGACGCACTCAGAACAAAGCGGTACCGACACAAATGCACAAACCGTGTCTGGAACAGCCACAGTAAGTCCTGCGTTTTTCCCTCGTTACCCCCTCCACCCCCCCCCCCACTCACAGCATCAAACACCCCACCCCCCGCCCCCGCCACACACACACTTTTTCCCCTTGTCTTCTTGTCCATCACTGTTTGTATTCGATTATCCTTTGAAATTTTCCTTTTGGATAAAAATAATAATAATATGTTAGACCAGTCATGCGTAATTTGAAAATTTGCTCTCATTTTTATTTGTGTTTCTTCCTTTCCTGGACTGAATGAAATCTGCTTTTTCAAACAGTTATTTTGGGGGTGGGGTGGGGGGGGGTGGGGTTCTCCCAGGTTAGATTTAATATGATTGAAAGAAGTCAGTTCAGTCAGTTGTTGGTGTGCTTTTTTTTTTGAGGTTTAGGAATGTGTTGGGGGAAATAAAAAGAAAGAGCATTTGCCACATGGTGGTATCACACTCAACTCAAGTCAGCAACACCCCCCCCACCCCCCCCCAAAAAAAAATACCTTCCACGCCATTAGGTGAGGTGTTTGCAGACAAACCACAGAGAGGATTTGTTGATGAACTTTCCCGGAACTATGGTACATTTTAATGTGACTCAAATGTAGAGATACCTAACCAGTCACCTCAGTGGCCTCTTTCAACTGCCAGTGAAGTGTTAACCTTCTGCAAAGCTCGACTTCTAAGATTTATGTTCAGCAAGCAAATGCTCCCAAGAGGAAAGATCAGCTTTGAGGCCTGTTGCATTAATCAGTTTGCTGAATGACATTTCTTTCATTGAATGCCCTCATGCCATCCTCTCACGCCCAGGTACAAGAGCAGACAGCAAACAAACACAGTGGTGTATCAAGCCCAGACTGTTGTAATCGCTGTGTGTTTACATAGGCTGGAAACAGTGGCCGACTGGTTGAATTGGCCATGATTTAGGTAACGAGTCGCGGTCCTTTCGATGTTACCCTCAGTGTAATAGTCACAAGTTTAGGTCAACACTCTATAGCCCAGTGCCGATCTTCGGATGAGACGTTAAACCAAGGTCCCAACTCGACTGCCTGTTCAGGTGGAGGTTAAAAATCCCGTGGCATAATTCAAAATAAATGAAAAGGGTAAGTTTCTCCTGGTGCCCTGGCCGTTAATCCTCTGGTAAAACTGGTCATTCACTTCACGCCTGTGGGACATTGCTGCGTGCAAATTGGCTGCAGCGTTCACCTACAAAAATACATAGTCACTACATGACAGGAAATCCTGTGATCAGCTCTGAGGTGAAAGGCCCTATATCAAATGGCATGATTATTATCAATAAAATTTCAGCTGCCCAATCTCTCCACCTTCACCGTGACTAGTTCTAATCCATCACTATGTAAGGATTATTATGAACTGCAAAGCTTTACAACAGTCAGGATCGAGTGTGCTTTGTGCTTATTCTCTTACCAGCAAGAGTATTGAAGCTTCATCTGCAGGACACCATTAATGGGAACATTTTCACTGGTTCCACTGCGGTATTGCCATTTGCCATTCTCCGAGGGCGTTTCAGTGTTATTCATCACAGTCCTGCTCAGTGATAAATGGGTTGGGAGCGCCTTTTGAAGTGGTATCTGCGGATTGTTTCTGTGCATTCCTCGTTGTCAAGTGAAGCATCAGAACCATATCTGGGGTGATTCTCTATTAAATAGGCTAGAAGATGGGCTCTGTCCATTTAAGATGGGATGATAACTTACTGGTTGCAGGCAAAATGATGTTAGCAAGGATGCCTTGTGACCTGACAGCTTGCTATATTTCATCACAGCAAATCCATAGAGCACTTTAAGTACATTCAATTGACCACAACAGATTCAGTTGATTCTGTTACACGCTGCAGAAGTTTGCCATGAAATATTGCGTTTCTGTCCCATTCTATTCCCATCTTCAGAGTTGTGAGTCAACCTCCCAGGATATATTGACTCACTGCCTCAAATCTTGCAGAAGCTTTTTAGTGTGTTTATGGTGCCACTGATGATGACTCCAGCCAGCGATCCAAAACATACTGGAAGAATATCCATATATGCTGAAAACCTCGCAATAAGTTAATCAAGTCCATACATCTTAGACCTCTACAATCTTCTTACTCATCACATCCTCACCACCCCATTTCAACAACCCCAAATCTGAAGGACGTGTACCGTATTGCAGTGGAACGAGGGGTTGATTCATGAATCTGTCCTTCAGCTCCACGTAATACAGTATTGCTCCTTCGGTGGTTGATCTGAATTGAATTGTTCTGTGCATGACTGCAGTGTAAGATTGTTCTGCTAATTCGTACCCATTCCACACTTCCAAAGGAGTGGTTGCAGTGGTGTGGTCCATCCAATAACTTGGTAGAAAGCAGGTAAAACACCCAGGGAACAGGGTGGATGGGTTGAGATGAAATGTCCATCAAGCCTTTGGTTGAAACTTTTAACCCTCTGGTTTGGAACTCAAGAGCAAGAGTTGTTTACCATTCTAACACAAATATAATATCTGACATTTATTATATTATGACGCATGATCATGGTTGGGTCATTACAAACCGTAGCAGCTCACATGTGACGGAGATGCACAGTGATCTTCCAAATAAAGGTTCTGGACACTAACTCTGTCATTGTGGTATTGTCAGCCATTGTGAACTAAAGTCAAAATCAGAAATACAGTCTGCAAATTGTGGTGATTTAAGTCCAGTTTAGCTGTCCACTTTTAGCATCAATAGTATCAAATAGATACCTTTCTTTATATAAGACCCCCTAACTTTATATTGGATAAATTACAAATTTAGATAGAAGCAAAAGCCTTAAAACCAATGCTTAAGTATGCATCATGGTGTTTTTGGACAATTCTGGAGGGGGACTCTTTATAAATATGAGTTTACCCTAAACCTTACAACAAAATTACATTTGTATAGCGCCTTTCACATCGACAGAACATCCCAATGACATTACAGCAGCTTTGCATATCTGTCAGCATCTCAGATCATCCCAAATCAGTTCTTATATGATCTGGACATCAGAAAATCCTCTTGTTGTCAGAGTTACATAGAAAAGCAACCACTATAGGGACATAGTTAAGTATAAGGTGGTGAAAACCTATTCCACGTGTGCGTTTAAAAGCAATCTTCATTGGTCTATGGGGTAATCTAACCAGTGATGGGGCATTTCAGATAGGGGTGCCAAAATTCTCAACCTTACCTGCCTTGCATGTATTTTCTCAAACACCATTGACAAAGGAAGACAGATAAACTGGTCCAAAACCACTACATTTTCATCAACTTCATTTCCAAGTTTGACTTCAGTAATTAACGGTTCCGACTTTGTGCTTACAACTCACGTTCCAGTTGAAATATCGCAATGTGTTTGCCTTTGCTAGTAAATTACCAAGATGTAAAAGGTTCAATGTTTGAAACAAGTGCTTATCATTTCTGTTGAGCCACCTATCAAGTTCAGTTGCACCCGTGCAATCCGCTAAATCATTTCCATTTGGTCTTGGGCTGCCTTGGAATCAGACGCTCAGAGACCTAACCACACGTTATGCACTTTTGTCAACCTTTCCTGAGCAGCAATGTACCTGAATTCAGGATGTCAATAATCTGTCGACACCGAATAGCTGTATTCCCGCACTGGTTAATTTAAGCCTACAAACATAGTTTGTCGATCAAAAAGTTGCACAACAATATTCACCTCCACTTAATATTGATTTACGAGCGGGCTTTCATTTGATTCAAGATCTTAGGAGACTGCACAGCATAAATCTGGACACGTTCATTTGTTTCTAAATAGTTTAATGGAATCCCATACTTCAGAAATAAAAAAAAACGAAAGGTACTGTGATTACATTAGGCGTTCCTCTTTACAAGAACCATTTCGATCATGGGGGGGGGGGGGGGAGAAAAAGCATAAAAAAATTAAATGGACAGATCCTAAAACAAAGAAGATCATTATTTTTACCCTACATCTGTCATGTTTCAAGCCATAAAGTCGAGTACAGTTTATTTAAGCTACAGATCAGATCGCTGCATAAATATGAATGTCGGTAACAGTTCAACTCAAAAGGTTAGAAGATTTAAATCCGTTGATTAATACTCTTTGATTGTATTCGCCAATCAAACTTTGGAACTTTCCAGAATTATTTTTTTTTGCCACAAGCCAAAATTTGAAGACTTCAGAAAAATAAGGTTGGGTGTCGGGGAAACTTGGCTCGCGTGTTTCAATGAGAGCCCATTTCCGCAAAGATAAGTGAATACTGAAAGACAAAGTTCACTTGTTCCCTTCCCAAGACATCTGAACTGCTCCAGTCTGGAGAAGTGATGGGTTTTGAGAAGTGAGAGTTTTGATAAACAGAAGTTTGTAATTGTGGACTTAAATGTTGTGGATAGGACAAGCAGAGTATTAAGCAATTTGCTAAAGGCAATCACTTTAGTTACGTGGAAATTGTAAATTCGCTGCGATTTTTTTTTCCTGTGCAGTGTTAATCTTGTGTTACATGAACCCAAACCATTGCAAACCACTTCTTCCCAAAGTTCGTGGATGACGACAACTGCCACATTTTTTAAAGAAAAGCTCCGATTTACATCGCCCTTTGTTTTTTTAAAAAAAACTATTGTTTGTTTAATATATTAATTTAACGGGCCGGTGCCTATGAGGTTGTTTACCTGAGATAGGCAATTAAATATCATCCCTCACCACTTTAAACAACGTCCACAAGGAGCAGCAATAACATGGTCTGTCTGTGTTTCTGTCCATAATTGTGCCAGATATTGACAACACAATCTTCTCGACACACGTGAAATTTGTCGAAGTGTTAAATCAACACAACTGAACAACGAGGTTTGAATTTCACAGATATTAAACTCTGGGTTGGGTTGAAATGCAGGCAGATGAATTGTTGAGAGAGTCCAAAGAGTGACTTCCTTCCAATAACCATCAATTACCCTGCCAACAAACATATACAGGACCTGCAGAAGCAATGTGCTTTTTTTTAAAATAAAACGCTACTTTTAAAAGTTTTAATATCCAA